AGGCCCCAAGAGAGAGAGAGAGAGAGAGAGAGAGAGAGAGAGAGAAGAGAGAGACAACAAAGGGTCCCCTTCTTGTCAATTCGAGCCCCCCTGCAGGTACCTCGAATGGCTCCTACAATACATGTGGAGCCATTAAAGGCTACCTTAAATGAGAAGGATGGCCTCGTCACGTGTGGGAAAGACTTGGGCAGACCACCAATATATGCTGTGGATTCGAGTTCAGGGCTGTAGCTCGGCAGTTATGGGTCACCAATTCAGCTAGACGCTGTTCGCGTCTCCACGTGATTCTCAGGGCCTCCCTCCACCACTCACCAAATATATATAATATTAGTAGAATGAATCTTCTGCTGAAACATGGAACCATACACCGCCATATGCTATGTCTTTTGTGCAGTTGGTGAGTAGCGGAGCAGGCCCCACTGGACGTATTCGTAAGAAAACAAAAACAAAAAAACGAGAGAGCAGAATGAATCTTCTGCTGAAACATGGAACCATACACCGCCATATGCTATGTCTTTTGCGCATTTGGTGAGTAGTGGAGCAGGCCCCACTGGACGTATTCGTAAGAAAACAAAAACAAAAAAACGAGAGAGCAGAATGAATCTTCTGCTGAAACATGGAACCATACACCGCCATATGCTATGTCTTTTGTGCATTTGGTGAGTAGTGGAGCAGGCCCCACTGGACGTATTCGTAAGAAAACAAAAACAAAAAAACGAGAGAGCCACGGGCATCTTCATCCTAACCCATAACTGCCGACATGCGGACCTGAACGCCAATCTTCAGCATATATTGGTGGTCGGCTGGCAATAGAACATTCAATTTGTGACTTCTGCGAAGCTTGGCGGGGCATGTCGTTATTAGGCGACTACCCCTTCTTGCGAACTGACCCCACTACTGTGTGGGATTTGCAGAAGGCAGCGGGAAGGACATCTCTCATACCCCGCCTAAAACAAAAGTTGGAATGAGCCCTATTTTGTGCCTCGCCATTCGAAACTTTTTGGGGAAGAGCCTGCTGAAAATCGAATTTTCAGCAGCCCTTACCCAAAAGAAAAGTTCGGGCTGTGGGCGCGGCCGGTTTGTGAACTTGCGCAGTGAGTTTAACATTTTTGCCGAGTTGGGGGCCCTAAGAAAATAGAAAACCCCTAGTTTTTTTTTTTTTTTTTTGGTCCTAAATTTTCAAGTGCGCTGCGCTTCGGTGCGCTGTGCGGTGCGCGGCGCGACGTGCACAAACCGTGCGCAAACCGGGGCACCGACGTGTGCCGCAACTATGGAAGAAAGTGAAAAAGAAAGCTAGAATTTAGGAGACTCAGGGAAGTTCTCTTTTAACAGGTTTATCCTGTTCAGAATTTCTCACTTTTTTTTGTTTTTTTGAAGCCTCATGCCCGGGGGCTGTGGCTAGTGTGTGAGTTTGTATAGCGCGCGTGTGTGTGTGTGTGTGAAAGTGCACAGATGTGTGTGTGAGCATGTCTTGTGTTTGTTCTTGACGTCACAGGGTTTTTTTTTTCCGTCTTGTAATACCGGTGCTCTTGTCAGGCGTCAGGTCTGTTGGCTGGCATAGCACCTGTGCTCCGAAGATTGTGCCACGAGACAAGGCTCTGCAAAAAGTTAAAAGTTAAAAAACCTTGCAGCGGTTGTGCATCCGTGGCCGTCCTCTTCACATTTGTCATCATAGTTGCACACGCCCCGTCCTATTCTGTCACACGTGGTTGTGCTACCTCTTCTCCCCCGAATACAATGTACATCGTATGCTCATTATAGCTGATTTGGGGAATCTTTCAGTCTAAATATGGGCTATAATGACCGTACGTTGTATTCGGGGGAAGAAGGTAATTTCCTTTATTCCTCTCTCTGCGCTGTATGCTTCCTAATATAGTGATCTTCTTCTCTTAACAGGAACACTGCCTGAGGGTTCTGGCTGCACATTTTGATGCTGCTTCAAAGGCATTTGCAGAGGACGCGAAGGTCATCGCTGGGCTGATGAAGACACCCCTATCGCAGGTTATGTATCCAAACATCACACACATTTTCTGCAACAGGTGCACAGTGGCATCCTGCTTCCTTTTTTTTTTATGCGGCAAGTTTGCACTCGAGAATCCATCTGTCCCTCTCTTCTCCAGTGCAGACTGATCGATGACCCAAAATCTGAAAACTGAAAGTGCAAAGTGCTATCTTGGCTTCTGTACATCACTGTGCATCCACTGCTTTCTTCGTCGCAACTGTCGTCACCGTCTAATTAATATGTCATGCGATAGGAACCAATGTTCATATTCTGTGTCCCTCCTAACATAGGCATGACTGTGCACACGGTCATTCCATACACGTTCTATTTAATATGACGATTGTACCCACGTTCTTGACTCCATCCCAATCCTGTTCTGTCTACACGCAACTCGTCGTCATACCTGCCATTGTTTGCCTCTCAGCGTACAGCTTCTACGGTTTTTATGCCAAAGTAGCGTCTACGGCCGCTGTCGGTGCAGAGGTTCACACTAGAGCTCTTTGTTCGTTCGTTCATTTATATTGTGGTAATTGAAAACAAGAGGGAATGGCAATCATGGGAGAAGAGATGATGATGGCGAGAGGAAGGAGATGACATTGGTTTCGAAAAAAAAAAAAAAAAAAAAAGAGGTTCCATGATGCTTTGCTCTCTCACCGACCTCTCTGTCTACACCAATCCTCATGACGCAATGCTTTGCTTATCGAACTCTCTGTCTACCTCAGTCCTCATGACGCAATGCTTTTGCTTATCGAACTGTGCTCCTGCAATCTCATCACCGTTTTTAGCTGCATGCTTATCCTCTCCTATCGCTGTTTTTATGTGGAGAAATGTATCTGCCATGGTTATCTCCAAGTGTGACTTTTGTTAGGCCTTGTTCTTTCCTTTGTGGTCCTGTTCTGTTCTAGCCTCAGAAGCCAGCCTCTTCCTTACGCCGTTTGTTGAGTATAAGATGAAGGGGTGCCGGCTGCTATGTTTCTTTGCCATAAGAGGTTTTGCGTAATCCATAGGAACATCCTGAGCGTTGAAACTCAGCTTTTTTGCAACTTCTACCTTTTGAAGTCGAACGCAAGAGGCTTGTGCGATTGAATGTATGTTGCCGAGATTGACTTCTCATTTGTGGGCACCGAGGCCTTGAATCTCTGTGAATGCTTGCTGAGGAATGCTTTATATCTGTGTGTGTGTGTTCTGCTGATTGCAAACAGATAGGAGATGTGAAGGCTGTCATGCGGCAGTGTATGTCCTTTGTGCGATTCAAGAAAGAGGAGGCAATCAAGGCTGGCCCTCAGGTGAATTTTCTCTCGTTTTCTTGATTGCCTTGATTTATGGCCACACATCTTCGTCATGGACTTGAAATAGTACATTAGCGTAGTACGACGGCGTAGTTGTTATGTAGAGGGACTCAAAAGACTCTAGATACGACAAATCTGCAATTAACTGGATGAAAATTAAATGAATAATAAATAAAACACACAAGAGGGCATGTAAATAGATGAGGGGGAGGGAAGGAATGCTCTCTCTCCATGATGACCTTTGTGTTCACAAGGATGTGGCATTTTGGCAGCTCCTGCATCTAGTCTAGTATAAGTAGAAAGTACAATCGATTGAGTTTTTTAAGTGTAAAGCCCTCTTGAAATCATGGAGCTAATGCTATTGTCCTGTCTTGCACGAACGCATCACAGCAATACAAGTGAATTTGCATGCAAATGGCAACCACACAAACGTGGGCAACAGTGTACTTGGTATTATGTTGCCCGCCCATATTTTTTTGGTTCTATGAATGCTTTCCCTTTTTAAAAAGTGGGACTAAATGGTGGCGATGAAGGCCCTCTTTTTTATCTTACTCTGGAAGTTCCTCCTGACATCTCCCTGGATCCTGAGCTTTCCGTTTGAAGCTGTGTGCAAGCTTGGTCCACCTAAACCCTAAATCCTAACCCCCCCTAACCCCTAACCCCTAAACCCTAAACCCTAACTTCTAACCCCTAACCCCTAACCCCCTCTAACAAGAAGTTGTGAACAGATGCATGCATTCCAGCATTAATACATTGGACATACATTTCGCACTTACGCTTCCCTTGGCGCCCAGCTGAGACCTCTCTTGTGTGCATCTGAATAGATTCTGAGTTAGGTTCAGTTAGCCATGTTTGCCCCCCCCCTGTAGTGAATAGTGCAGCCCTTTTTTTAGTCCTGCTGCCCGCAGGCTTGGGAACCTGCATGACGATGCGGTTGCTTTTACAGCCAAACATGGGCCAATGCAGGGTTGCTGGCGTTCGGGACGGGCCGAATGGCGAACCCGGATGCCCGAACGTTCAACATCCCCTCTCGACTCGTTCGGCCGAACGTGGACCCCCCCAAAAAACAAAAGAATTAAAACAAGAATTCGAAAAATTCTGAAAAAAATATATGTTATGCAGAAGAATAAATTAAACAACATTTGCCTCAACGTTACATTCAAATTCTTTACCAAATTTGGAATAAAAATCAAATACTAAAAATTAATAATAGTAATGAAAAAAAAAAAAAACGAGAATGAAATTGTTGAGTGGGCGAGCACGTTTTTGACACTGCCATCTTTGGCGATGTTTCATTTCTTTTTGGCTGTGACATATGCTATGAAAATTTATATGTGTATCTTACATAATAGAGAATCTACAAATAAAGTTCGAAAAAATAATCATTTTTTTTTATGCCTCGAAATAAAGGAAAAACAAAAAGTGAAAAGAGAAGAAAAGCAAATTACTTGAAATTAGTGAGTGGGCAAGCAAGTTTTGACACCACCATCTATTACGAATTTTCATTTTTTTTTTGACTGAACAGAATGGCTTCAAAATTAAGAGGAAGATACCTTACATGACAAAGAACTCACAAAAAAAAATCAGAAAAAAAAATTAATATTTAGGTGTCAAAATATTTTTTTGTGGGGTCTGAACCCCTTCAAGTTCGGGCCCCGTACGGGGACCCAAACGCCCGAACGTTCGGCGGTCAGCTTAGGGGCCTCCGTACGTTCGGCATGGCAACCCTGGGCCAGTGTGTATTTCAGATTTTCAGTACTATTTCAAGTTCTATAGACAGGTTAGGACTTGGCACTGTCTGCCGGAGTATCATTTTTCGACACAATCGTTCCGCTGTGGGCTTCATGTTTTAGGGTCTCGCTGCACTACTCTTGAAAGGTGCAAAACGAGAGTGAATCTTCCGCTAGAACATGGAAAGATACAGCGACATGATTTTTGTCTTTTGTGCATTTCAAGAGTAGTGCAGCGAGGCCCTTATTCTTTGTGGTCTTGGCACCTTCTGCCGGATTATCATCGTTGATACTCTCGTTCGTTGTGGGCTTCGTGTTTTTTTTTTGTTTTTTTTTTTAATAATGTTTTTGCGGCTACAGGTGCTGGACTTGAAGCTGCCATTTTCTGAGGTGAATCTCTTAACAGAGAATGCAGAGTTTATCAAGGTATGGAATCTGTGGATATGTGGTTTGTGCTTGGATGGCAGCTGTATCAGTTGCATAAAGAAAACTTCTCGAGCTCATTGAGTTATTTGAACTTATTTCGTTACCGTAAATGAGGTCATTGAGTTTTTGGAACTGCTTTCTGATAATAGTGCACCAAATAAATTAGGTGTTGCTGCAGGCGCATAAAAAAAAAACTTCTCGAGCTCGTGAATGAACCCAATTCCTCCATGTGAGGAAACGATACTAGGTGTCGCTGCATTCGCATAACAAGCTTCTTGAGCTCGTGAATGACCCAAATTCCTCCATGTGAGGAAACTATATTTGTTCCAGTTTCTCAGTCATTGCGTAACAATGAAATGAGGTGGGGAACAGAGGGGTGAAAAATGCTGTGGGTGGGTTTAGAAAGGAGCAGGGGGGGAGCACCAAGCACGAAAAAGGCCTAGGTGGGAAAGGCTGATAAGTTATAACTAACTACAAAGCTTTGTGGACACTCTGTCTGGCTCGCCCCGATAATCGTCCTGTGGCAATTCAGTTTTGCAACAGCAGCAGAGATCACTGCAGCTAGAGAAAGTGGAGTTGTTTGTGCACAGCTTGTCAGATGATGAAGGTGGGAAAGGCTGATTAGTTATAACTAACTACGAAGCTTTGTGGACACTTTGTCTGGCTCGCTCCGATAATCGTCCTGTGGCAATTCTGCTTTTTTTGCAACAGAGATCACTGCAGCTAGAGAAAGTGGAGTTGTTTGTGCACAGCTCGTCAGATGATGAAGCGATTGCGAGAGTACGTTCTGATGAAGCAGCCTCCCGCGCCCGAACAGCTAAGCCAGGTGCGTTGGTCGTCTCCCGATTGTGATGCAACGGAAACTCACCTCACACTCATTTGTTACTTGCCTTTTTTTTCCGTTTTGGTTACTGAATGGGCAACGGTCTTGAGACATCATTGACAAGCTGCCCACCCCTGGGTAATTGAGGTATTTCATTCATCTACTGTCTTTACCCGAATAGAATGTACGGTCAATATGTCTGTATTTGCGCCAACTTTCAGTCCAGATGCAGTGAGAATGACACATTACGTTCTATCCGGTTGAAGATGGTAGTGGAAATCTGGATTCGAACGCAGGTCTATGTCTCAACTGTTCATGGGTGGTGCATCAGCTGGGCTAGGCCCGTCAGTTGTTTCTCTCCCTTATGAGGTCGTTTCGCTTTGTCATTGCATCACTGAAACACTGTAGTGACTATGGATGCCTGCCGTCATTGATCAATTGCTAACTTGCTAGTAAAGTGAGCATAATGAGAAAGCTGCTATTCCCACTGTCACTCTCCCTCCCTGCAAGTGCCGCAGTTGTACAGAGCAGGCATGTGTGTGTTAGGAGGGGGGGGGGGCACTTGCAGTTTTACAGAGCAGGCATGTGTGTGTTAGGAGGGGGGGGGGGGGGGGGGGGGCGAGATGTCCGGACTTGCAATTAAGATGGTGGATCTCGTCACTGGCGTTCCCGTTGGTATGTGCTATGAGCCTTGTACCGTTAATGCTGAAAGACGTCAGAGTTGACGCCCATACATGAATGCTCTCTCTCTCTCTCTCTCTCTCCTGTCTCTTATACACATCTAGATGTGTATAAGAGACAGGTGTGTGTGTGTGTGTGGATTGTATTGCAGGCAACCCTGTGGGTATTTTCTTATGATCTGCTTCTGTGATGCTCTCCTCTGGCGAACGGACAGAACTGCTCAGGTAAGAACCCCTCTGGGTGTTTCCCCGGGCTGTCTGATATTTGTCTGCTTTGTCAGGATAGTGAAAGTGGCGCATTCTCCCCTTCGTCTGAAATGTTGTCACAATAATCTTTATGTCAGCTTATGACAGCCGAACAGCCTCTGCAATACGCATGAAGATGGGGAAGTGTCTGACTCTAGGCAGAGGATGCAATGCCGCTCCCTTTTGTTTTCTTTTTCATAACCACCGAGCACAAAGTTTCTGCTTTTGTGCAAGTAGGTGCTACCATCTTCACCCGAGTAGAATGCCTGGTTATTATCGCTGTATGATTCTAGACTGGAAGTTGCCCCAAATGCTGCTATAATGACCGGGCATTCTATTCAGGTGAAGACGGTGGTCTAAATTGCCTCTATCCCACCCGCTACGGGAGGTGCCGCACTTGTTTACTTTGGGGCTGCGGACTACCTTCTTCCCCCGAACATAACACATATGCGTTGTAAATGAATCATACTTGCAAGCGGACGCCGTCCGGGCGGTTCCGCACGTGCGGCAGACCTCCGGACCGGACCCGCGCGGCGCACGAATGTGCGCCCGACGACCAGTTACGCCCCACCCCGAAAAAAATGGCCCTGTCCGGTCCGGTCCGGTCCGGTCCGGGTCCGTCTGGTCTGGGGGGAGGGTGCCGCACGCGGCAAAGCGGACCAAACCGGACGCTCGTCCGGTGCGTCTGCTTGCAAGTATGAAATGAATACAACGCATAGGGTACATTCTATAACTTCTATTCGAATACAACTCATGTGCATTCTATTTGAATAACCCTAAATTTTGAATACAGCGCATATGTGTTCTATTTGGATTTTTGTATACAACTCATGTGCGTTCTATTTGAATAGCCCTAAATTTCGAATACAGCGCATATGTGTTCTATTTGGATTTTTGTCAAATTTTGAAACTCGAATACAACACATATGCGTTATGTTCGAGGGAAGAAGGGGGGTAGTAGGGCCTGACCCCCGAGAGACTCACAAAATTGTGAGTGCCCGCACTTCGGGAATTTCTCGCTTTTGTCTGCTTCTGCAAAAAAAATTCAAAAAATTTTGCATAGGGTGCTTGCGCCTGTACAAGGGAAACATATCAGGAAAAAAATTCAAAAAGATGAGGAAAAGAAAACAGTTTTTTCCTAGGCTACCAGCCGGACCGCCCGGGTTACCTTGTTTTTCCCCAGGCAGCCTGACCATGCAAGGGCCAAAGTAGGTACTAGCAAAAAAAAAGAAAAGGAAATTGAAAAAATCCGAGGAAAAAAGTTTAAAAAACACGTCACGCAGAAAGAAAAAAAAACTGAACAACTTTTGCCTCAGGGTCACGTCGTAATTCTTTACCAAATTTATTATCAAAAATAAAATTTATTATTGTTATTTTTTATTTTTTATTTTTTTTGGCCCGGCCGGGCAAGTGGTCCCGGGCCACTCTGGTAGCCTAGGTTTGCCTGGCAGAAAACATTTCAGGCTTCAAATACGCAGCGCATATGGCGGCCATCACTAGCCCCCCGACCTCCACGACTGTTTCATAGTCCAGTGCCAGGAAAAGAGAGCATTTGGAAAAAACAGAGACTGCTGGTTAAGTGGTATCACCTGCAATTCTGGAGGAATTTTATTTATTTATTTGGGCTTTGCTAATTATATTCTTTGGAACGTATTCCTGGGCATCAGGTGCTCTTGATTTCGTTTTAATTTTGACGACTGTCTTCAGCATGTCCGGCTCCGTGTTCTGCCACAACAACAAGGATAGCTTTACAGATTTTTCATTGAAATTCTGAAAATATTTTGCTCACGCGATGAAATTGAACAAGGTTTTTATTGCCTCTTTTTGTATGTTACTATGTTTTTTTCTTTTCTTAATTTGGTGTCGAAGACTGAGTGTTAGGTTCTCGCTCCAATACTATCCACTGTACAATTTTTCGGACAGTTGGTGGACAGTTGTCAGAGCGAAATATTGTGCAGTGGACAGTGGAAAACTCCAAAAGTTGCACACTTGTCCGCGCAGACTCCAGGCTCACTGTCCGAAACGGCGGAGGGTCCGTGGATTCCTAGGAGGACCGTCCAGGAAACGACTTGTGCAGGCTGGGAGCTGTACAAAAATGGACGGTCGACGTTCCACGCGATTTCTGACAACTGTCCGAGGGATTTCGCACATGGACAGTGGACAGTAAGTGGAGCGAAATAGAACTGTCCATTTTTGTACAGTGGACAGTAGTGGAGCGAGACCCTTAATGCATACCTCGTGTAAGCAAAATATTTCAAAGTTAACGAAAAATCAAGGAACCGAAGCATCGGGAAGAGACAAAAGTGGCAACACAAAAATATGTGCACGAGCAAAGTACTCGAAATTTATTAATTTAATGCCGAAAGTCACATGAATGCGAAATTAACCAATGGAAATAAGGTTATGAACTAGGCTACCAGAGTGGCCCGGGACCACTTGTCCGGTCGGGCCAAAAAAAAATGAAAAAATAATTAAAAAAAATATATACCTGATGAGTCGGTGAAACTCCGACGAAACAGTTTGTCACAGCCCGTCGTTTGTTGTCCTTTTCTCTCTCCTTGCCAACGGTTTACCGGGCAGTTCTTTTTGTGACGATATATAGTATAGTATATATTTTTAAGTATATTTTATATTTTATAGTTGGTGACCCTGAGGCAGAAGTTGTTCAGTTTATTTTTCTGCGTAACATGGTCTTTTTTCGGATTTTTGAAACCGTGATGTCGAGTCTCTTAGAAATTATGCATACAATACCAGCCGGGCCGCCTGGGTCAGCCTATTTTCCCGGGCGGCCCGGCCGTGCAAGGACCAGGGAAGGTCCTAGCAAACAAAAAAAAAAATCAAAAGGAGGTAAGACTCCCTAAGAGTAACCATGCCAATGGTTTGTTCGCCTTCAATTGTGGTGGAAGTTAGCACGCGCTGCGGAAGTGATCTTCTAATGTTGTTCCCATGTTGCATGCAACAACAATACATTCCCTTTATTTGCCAGGGTGAAAAAATACCAGATAGTCCTTCGGGACATCCGTTAAAATTGGAACGACACAAGAGGAAGGAAGATTAGCATGGCCCCTGTGAAAAATGACCATAAATTACGGAATGACACGGCTGTAGACGGTACCATCCATTTGCGGTGAAGTGTTCAATATGCAGTTCTTTTGTGTCGGACATCTCTATCGTGCGACTTTTTTTTTTTTTTTTTTTTTTTCCCATTCTCCGATGCTTCATGCCACAATAGATCCATTTGCCAGGGTGAAGTATTAGCTGAGATGTTTACGGCGGTAGACGGTACCATCTATTTGGTGTGAATTGTGAGCATGGGACATCGCTACCTTTCTCACCCGAATATACAACTTGCCGTTGTTATTGATGTATTTAGGCTGAACCGTGGGTCGTATTCGGGTGAAGAAGATTGTGTTTGACGCGAAGTCTGTGTAATGGGGTTGTCTCGCGAGGGTCCAGTTTGACACGAAGTGTTTATCTCAATCGTGCGAACAAACGAGAGCTTGCCTTGCGGCAGGTTAATTCAACTTGATTGTAAAGAGGAGGAAGTGAGATGGCTGGCCAATGGGAAGGGGGCTTGGGGTTGTGAATTGCACACAGACAGATGCACAGACAGAGTGACAGGTAGTCAGACAGGCATGCAGAGGCAGAAGGAGAGGGAGAGGGAGAGGGAGTGGGAGAGGGAGAATCAGGGAAGAGGCAAGTGAGAACATCTTAACCCCCCCCCCCCCCAGCCTGACCAATAATGTCTTTCTTTCTTTCTTTCCTTCTTTCTTTCTTTCTTTCTTTCTTTCTTTCTCTCTTTCTTTCTTTCTTTCAAGAAGGGAAACGCATGTTTCATGACCAATAATGTATGGCAAGTGAGAACATCTTAACCCCCCCCC